TGGCTCTCACTTTGGCAATTCACAGGAACATAATTTTGGATTCAGAGAACAAGGATTTGCAGAAGGTCACCCCAGGAAGTTAAACAGCCCAGATAAGCAATTCTCTGTCCTTTCCTTAGGAACGGTGAGGACCAAGCAACTATGGTGTCTGTGTCCTTCTGCACACAACTGTCATCACAATCAAAAAGTTATACAAGGGGAGCTCCAAGGCGAGCGCTTCTTCCAAATGTTCTTCGATGTTTTAGAAGGAAGGGGAGGAGGGAGCAGAGTGAGGAGGGTGTATTAAATGCTCTAAACCAGCATTTCTTCTTTGGGGAATTTATTCTACGAAAGCATACAAAGATACTTATGAAGCTCTGTAGTGGCCAAAAGTGACAAAATTAAGCAATGACCCATCCTAGGTGAGTATTTCATGAGCATTATTGATACAGGGAGAAAAGTCCATGATTTCCTCCTAATTTAAAAAAAAATCAACTTGCACAAAGTATTATTGTATGATCTCATTTTGCAGTGATGGTTGTAATTATCTAATATATTACTAATTATGCTTATAATTATAGGCATATAAACACCCTGGAGCTATAAACACCCTGGAGCTAAAATCATCTGTTCGAGTTATCTGTGGCAGCTAGCAAACCACCCCATAAACTTAGAGGCTGACAGCAGCTTAGGTTCATCATGGTCCTGGGTCTCAGCTGGGGGGTTCTGGCTCGAGTCTCAGGCAGTTACAGTTGGGGGGTGGCGCTAGACTGCAGTCACTTGGGGGTTCCATTGGGGTGGACGTGGCTCACTTGCTCGGCTCACGGCGGATGTTGGATGTTTGCTACGATCTTGCCAGGGTCTCTGTACGTGGCCTCTCCAGGTGGCTTGGACTTCTTCCAGCTGCGTTCCAAGAGGGCGCATCCCAGGAGCAAGTTTTCAAAAAGGAAACTCCTGCCTAGTCTATTGGTCAAAAGTAAGTCACAGGTCCAGCTCCGGGGACAAGACGACCCAGAAGCAAGGATCCCGGACAGGGGCCCATTGGGAGCCAGCTGTGATCTAGATACTTCCTAAATTTTTAATGTAGTAATTACATGTTTAAACTCAGGAGACAAAAAAAAAAAAAAAAAACCTGCTGGAAGGTCCTGGCTCATCACTTGCTAGCTATGTGATTGCAAAGAAGTGACTCAACCTCTCTGAGCCTCTGCTCTCAAATAAGCAAGCTCATAGGGTGGTTGTGAAGATCAAGTGCCCCATTTATAGTGAATGTTCACTAAAAGTCATCTAATAATCATATTATTAGATGCTGATAAAATGATTCATTTTTTACAAGTGAGTTTTACTTTTGTAATTGACAAAGTAATTGTCAAAGCCCCCAAAAAGGAAGCGTAGCAGAACTTAGAGATGTAAACTCAGAACTCCTAGCCAATGCTCTGTTCCGGTCGCCTTCCAGCTCACCCTGCAAGGCAGCTGCAGGGGCCTCTTGGTCTGCACAGACACAGAGGATACCTCGGGAACTCCTTGACCTCTTCCCCCTGCACCCCAAGACCTCACCATCCAACCTGTGCTGGTCTTTCAGCCACTCCCCAAATCCTCTCAAGTTTGATCACAAGAAGACACAAAATGCAGGAAATGAGTTCCCTGAGAATACAGCCTAGAAGCCTTGCAATCACAAAACATGGGCTTTATGTTACCAGGAGTTCAAAACCGCCCGACAACAGCACTGAGAAATGTCTTCAGAAGTGTCGACATTTCGATGGCGAAGTTCATTGGGGCTTGCTTGGATGGGTCTCCAAACAGCAGGTTCTTGGGCCAGCTAGATGGAAAGGAAAACTGAGAAATGGGAATTTCAGAGTGTGATGACTTGGTTTTTTGTTTATTCACCCACAATAAACACACACAGACCTTGTCAACCAACACCACTCTTTGTCTTCAGAGAAAAATGCACCGCCATGGAAATGAAGGGACTTTTTGATGCAGAGAAATATAGCAAATGTCAAACCTTCAAGTCAAAAACTCTAGCTTCCCCTTGCTTTTTCAGAAAATCAATACACTGACTTGGCTCCAGTCCTTTCTGGGTCTCTGGCTCACACACCTCTCTCATCACAGGGATCCCCCAAATGTTCTTGGTGCTGCCTTGAGGAAAGATCTATCCATACCAAAGAAAGGGGAGACTCGGTGTCTGCGGGGTCGTTTCTCGGGAGAGGCAATTACTAGGAACTTGAGGAAATGTCAGATATGAATACCTAGCAATTTCCTTTGCCGTTGATGACTTGCCTGCCTTAAAGCATTAATTAGATGGGGCTGGAATATTTTTAAAGAATTTGGATATGGAGAATTTTTAGCACTACACTATATGCAGTTCACCTGGGGAGTAAGAGCCCCTGCTGAAGAGTCGTTCTCTACAGAATACTTAGAATAGTTTTTCTGAGGAGACCCGGGCATTTATCCATTCCTGCCTCCTAATAGGCTGGGGGAAGGGTGGGGGAGGGAGAGACTGTGGGTGTTATTTAATGAATAGACAAAAGAAGTTCTGAGAAATGACGATGCTTTTCAAAGTCAGGGGCAACCTAGGGAACCACTGAGAATGCTTTCCTCCAGCTGAGAATGCTTTCCAATGGTGAAAGATAAATCAAACAGAACTTAATATGCTGGAAAGTCAGAGAGAGCTAGGGTAGCCTTCTGGCTCGCCCACTTACTCAGTATGTGACTTTGAGTAAAACCTCAAAATCTAAGCCTCAGTTTCCTCCTCTAGGGATAACAGAACTGACAAGAGCCTTCTCTCAGTTCCATGAATACCAAGCTCGTTCCACCCCAGGGCCTTTGCACTGCCATTGCTGCTGCTGAGAATTCTCTTCCCACAGATCTTTTCCTGGAGATCTTGTCCTCAAATGAACTCAGATGTCACTTTTCAAAGTTAAAACAACCACCATCTCTGTCAATTTGCCTCACCCCTTCGTTTTATTCTGTATAGTATCCTTGCCCTGAGGTTCTTTTGTGCTTATTTATTGTCAGTCTTCTCCACTGAATTATGAACCCTGTGATAATGGAATTTGTCACTCTGTTTATCCTGCACCTCCAGCACCTCATCCAGTGCCTGGCATGTAGGCATTACTATTTGTTGAGTAAATGGACTCATCCAACAGCTGACATTCATTGAGAACTGACCCCAAGCCACAAGCCCTCTTATAACCACTTCATAAAAATGTTCATTGAACATTCAGAACAACCTTATGAGCTGATGTTCTTATTGACCATTTTATTAAAAAGGAAACTGAGGAACAGAGGAATTGAATAAATTTGCCCAGAATCAAAGGGCGACTCAAGAGTGCAGCCAGGACAGAACACCAAGCAGCCTCAGACTTCAGGCCCGTATCACTGAGCGCGATGCTCCCAGCTCCATGGGAAGGCGTCTGACCTGGTGGTGCGGCGACAGTTCCGTGAAGCTCTGACTCTGTGTGATTAGGTCAAAGTGGCCAGACTTGACCCACATCCTCCTCCAAAGCCTTTGGCTTCACTCTAGAGCTGGTCGCCAGCCCCACTTTCATCACTGTGTTTTCACTTATCTCTTTAATACCCGGCCACCCGCATGTTGTTTGAGTGGAAACTGTCTGCAACATTAATTTGGTCCACCCTGGGTTCCTCAGAAATACAATATTGAGTGAGAAAAAAAAAAAAAAGCAGGATGTAGACAGCAGGTTCAGGAGCAAAGGAAGCCAGACAGAGCACTCAAACCTGGCCTTGAAGGCCGGCACTGAGCTGCCTCCGGAGAAAGACGAGGGAAGGGATGGATGGGAATCGAGCAATTTCAAAGCAATTTCAAAGAGACTTCAGTCAGATCTTACTGTCCTTCCTTTTTTAAGGAGCACTGTAGCCAATCATGACAGGATTTTAAAATGTGTTTAATCAGAGTGATGACTGTACCAGGTGTGCACAAGACATGTTTACATGCAAACTATTACACTGTTGTGTTTTTAAAGGCTGGAGAGAAAGTGACAGAGGCAGAATGCCCTTGCCACTGAACTTCAGATAAGGACATAAGCTCTCTGAGACCCTCGTTAGCCAAGTAGGATTTAAAATGCTCAAATTTCAGGGTTGACTGAGACAATTAGTGAGAATACATGTGTAGAGGGACTTCCAGGTATTATCCAGTGGAAAATCAGTTTAGAGTGAGTCCCTAATGACTTTTCAGATGTGTCTTCTTCAGACAGACACTGGTTTTAATGACTCACCAAAATGATGTGGAAGCATTTGCAAAACAAATCCCGCCCCAAGAAAAATAACGTATCGCTACTATCTGCTCAAGAACTACACATCCCCGTGTGATGTAGACACAGACAAGCACAGACAACAGGGTCACTGTGATTGCCCTGAGGGGCCCTTGGGTGGTCAGAGAACAAGAGCAGAAAGGAAATCTACTTTGCTATTATTTGTAATTAGGTGCCATGTCTCTAGATGGCCTCCTCTAAAAATAAATATAACTTCTTTTAAAATTAACTGAAGGTCATGCTCTTCTCCCTTCCTTCACTTCTAAATCCACTTAAAAAGGAAAGGTCCTAAAACACAACTTCTAAAAAGGTTTTTAAGAGGTCCTCTAGTTAGTGTCCTGCATGAACCGGGAAGCAGGAAAAACCATCCCAGGACCATATTCTAGACAAAAGCAGCAGCATGTGATCTGGGATTAGGGGATCTAGGCTTGGTTGCTGTCACCATGACTGTCTGTGTGCTTCCACGTGAGTTCCTTGAGCTCTGTGAGCCCCGTTTCATTTCTGAAGAGAGGATGATGCCAACGCTATGTCCCATGACTATGGGGGGGAAAAATAAATGACAAGATGCACATTAAGCTTTGTCAAAATAGCATCCAGATGTTTGTATGAGATGCACTTGTAGCGCCAAGATTGCTCCTCAAAAGTACTGCTTCCACCCCTTGCTGTCCATCTGAGTACCCCATGAACACCTACACTCATCGCCAATAAAGGCACCCTGCTGTAGAGATAAACCAGATTCTCTTCTTTCCACAGCAAATATCCTGACAGTGATCATCCTCTCTCAGCTGGTAGCTAGAAGGCAGAAGTCCTCCTACAACTATCTCCTGGCCCTCGCCGCTGCTGACATTCTAGCCCTCTTCTTCATCGTGTTCGTGGACTTCCTACTGGAAGATTTCATCTTGAATATGCAGATTCCTCAGGTGCCCAACAAGATCATAGAAGTGCTGGAATTCTCGTCCATCCACACCTCCATTTGGATTACTGTTCCATTAACCATCGACCGGTACATTGCAGTCTGCCACCCACTCAAGTACCACACGGTCTCCTACCCAGCCCGCACCAGGAAAGTCATCGTGAGTGTCTATGTCACCTGCTTCCTGACCAGCATCCCTTACTACTGGTGGCCCAACATCTGGACTGAGGATTACAGCAGCACCTCCATACATCACGTGCTTATCTGGATTCACTGCTTCACGGTGTACTTGGTGCCCTGCTCCATCTTCTTCATTTTGAACTCAATCATCGTGTACAAGCTCCGGAGGAAGAGTAATTTCCGCCTCCGTGGTTACTCCACAGGGAAAACCACTGCCATCTTGTTCACCATTACCTCCATCTTTGCTACCCTCTGGGCCCCCCGCATCATCATGATCCTCTACCACCTCTATGGGGCGCCCATCCAGAACCGCTGGCTGGTGCACATCTTGTCCGACATTGCCAACATGCTGGCCCTTCTGAACACAGCCATCAATTTCTTCCTCTACTGTTTCATCAGCAAGCGGTTCCGCACCATGGCGGCCGCCACCCTCAAGGCCTTCTTCAAGTGCCAGAAACAACCCGTACAGTTCTACACCAACCATAACTTTTCCATAACGAGTAGCCCCTGGATCTCACCAGCCAACTCGCACTGTATCAAGATGCTGGTGTACCAGTACGACAAAAATGGAAAGCCTATAAAAGTCTCCCCGTGACCCTATAGCTTTGGCACCTAGTGCCTGTGAGTGATCCATTTCCAGATGGGAGGTGGCCCATCCTGTGGCTGAACAGCTCTCCTTAAGAGTGCTCACCTGACTTCCTGTCTCCACAGACTGAGCAACTCTCAGACTGGTCGATGAGAAAAGATGCAAGAGAAGAATAAAAAGCATGAATCGTGTCTTCACTTATGCATTTATTTTCACCAAGTCACACCGGCCGCCAAAGCTCCTACTGGTTTGAAAATGCCGTTGGAGGCTGCACCACCATCCTATGGCCAGGAAGGACACACAGTAGAGAAATAGTCTATGGTGTGGCCTTGGCACCTTTCGTCATCCCTGGGAACTGCTCATTTATATGACACACCAAGCCACAGTAGCACGTAGCTGAGCCCACACTCTTCTTCCAAGAGCTGAGGTCATTCATCGCTTCTCTGTGCTGTCCCCAGCAGCTGACACTGCTAACCAGTTTGGGAATTTTCCAAGGTGCCCTTGGTCATGGCACCTTTAGACATCAAGTGGCCCTGTGGGGACAGAGGAGATTGCATCCCATCCAAACTTTGACCAGAGCTTCTGCAGAAAGGTTCCAAACCAACATAACCATGACCCTCAGACCTGGAGTCTAAGAGGCAGTCTCTGTCATTTATGTATAGATTTTAATCTATCTCCTCCACAACAAAGACCCTGCCTGGTGCATGGGAGGAATGGAGGAATTCTTGAGCCCAGAAAAACAAAAAAATAAGCCCACTCTTGCCATTGTTTCAACCCATCCTCATGTCAGCTGTGTACAATCCCTTTACTCAAATGAGCTTCTTGTTGCGGTGCACTTGCGCTTCCTAGGGAAGCCTTTGCCGTGGTGAATTGCCAACCCTGCCTCCTTGCTTGCTGAAACCCTCACTGATTTGTTTTATTTGAGGTGACTTCCAAGCTGGATTTAATTCATGAGGGTCAGGAACTGTGGCTCTTCAGGTGTGAAAGGAGATGTTTGCAGCTCTGCGCCCCCAGTCCAGCTGGCATTGCCCTTCAGCCACAAATGCAGACACAAGTAACAGGGAAAGGTGCCCATGTCTGCTTGTCTGCCCTTTGATGCTCATGGCTCAGAGAGTGGTGCCAGTTTTCCATGAAGCTATTTTACCCAGATCCTTTGAAAAATGGTAAAATAAGAATTTATTTGTCCTCTTCTTGCCTGTTCAAGCCAAGAATAGTACTAGGGTGCGATTAGCAGGGGCTTCCCTGGAAACTGACACTCATAACACTCACCTGATTCTATCAGACTTCCGAGGACCCAGTGTTTTAAAAGGGAAACCCACACTGGAGTTCCTCTGAGCCCTTTTTTTTTAAAAAAAAAAAAAAAAAAAAAAAAAACCTTCTTTCCCAGATCCCCTGTATTTGAAGTTACCCCATTCTGGAAGAAATCTCCCAACATGACGACTCTAGCATTGGCTGATATTTTTGATGACCAAGCCAAAAGCAGACAATCCACCCACAACACTTGTCTTCTCGGTCTAGATTTTCACTGCATTTTTGGCCCTAAAGGGGAAGACGTGTCTAATCTTTTTTGAGGGAAATTGCAGTAAATGAGTGTGTTTAGAAAAGGCCCAAATGTAACACAATCCCTAAACTTCAGCCATCGCCCTCATTGCTAACTCAATATAATTTTAGGTCATCTTAGTCCTGATGATCCTAATTCCTACCCTTTTTAGGTGATTGCCGTAGTGTCTCATATTACCCAAAGATTAAAATCTAAAGTCAGTGCAACAACAACAACAAAATCCAGCAGAGCCAAATCACCACTGCAAAGTCCTCAGGAAGGAGTGTTGAGACCATATTCTATCCTTAAAAAAAAAAAAACTAACACTACTGTTTTTCTCCAGCACTGGAAGAGGTTGCTATGTCTTGGGTTGAGGACAAGACAGATTTGCCTGCTTTAGGGGACCCACCATATGGGTGGCAGTGGTACAGCAAGTTGCTTCCACTCACTTAGGTGCATGGAAGTTGATTGACCGAGGGACCAGCAGACTCACATCTCCCCATGACATGTGTCCCCAGGGCACATGCACAGAGAGTGGAATGGTGGGCAGGTCCCCCCACCTTCCTTGGATTGTCTTTCTCTCTGTTTCTTTTCTGCCAAGCACGTGCAGTTGAATACATGTTCATTCAATGTGTGTACGATGTGATTCCACCACACCCCCTTATGAATGAACATTGACCAAAGGCTACCTACACCGAATATATAGATATATATATATTTATTTATTTATTTATTTTCTAAATGCATAGCTCTTCAAAATGCTAGTTTGAGCTATACATGAATGAGTCACAGTGCAATATCAATAAAGATTAAGCAATTCCTTCGTGCGAATGTAAGATGGAAAATACGGAGTGGATTCCAGTGGTCTCTGCTCCACGTTTTTAATGGTGATGTCAAAGTTGTTTAAAAAGAAAAACTGGGTGTGTGTTTGAAATGTTTTCCTCATACACTCATTTATAGTTTCTCTTAAAAAACAGTGGCTACCCACGTGGTATTTTTGACCTCGTTTCCTTCTGAGTGCATTTTTTATTTTGACAAATAGTATTTAAAAGAGGTCTGATACTTGAAGGCGTTCCAATGAATTGTTATCTTCTGGTGAAAATGTACATGAATGCCCTTGGGTTAGGTCCATACATATCTCCTAACCTTTTCAGAGTTTATTTCAGATAATCTAAAGACTTTTAATTTATTATTATTTATAGTAATAACCGTGGACATAATAATTTTTTTAAGAAGATTCCAGTTTTTTCCTTTCAGGCCAGTTTTGGAAATAAAGCCTTGACTTTGGAAGTTGGTCATGTCAACAGCTGCTGGTGGTGGTGCCTCAGCCATCACCTTGTCTAGGCTTTTGTGATGCCTCTTTCAAAGACCGTTCACTCGTATTTCTCTTGTGTGATTGTGTCCTTGGCTGAGCATGCAGTGATGTTACACCTGTACACGCTGTGTCTTTTATCGAAAAACTCAAGGACTGAACATTCTCGTGGGAAAGACAGTGAGGATGACAACAAACCAGAAAAAGACCGACCGTGGAAAGGCATGAATTTCCATTTTGCAAACAGTCTGCGACTGGAAAAGGGTTACTTTGCACTGCTATTGCCCGCCTCCTGGTCCAGCCTAGAGGTCCTATCTGAAGTGCATAAAAGACTCTAATGTTGGCTATTCCAGTTCAAAGAATGGAATAGAATGTTACCATAGAAAATTAGTAAATGTTCATATTTTCTTAATTAGATACTATATTGTGTTTGGACTTGTTTGTATTATAATAAATTCTAATATGGTGCACACTTGGCGTTTGGTGTTTACATATAGGTTCATGCAATCACAGAGCCCTTGATGGAAAATTTTAAAATGAGTATCTCACTTATAATTTTTGTTGATGCTAAAATGGTGAGATCTGAGTCCCACCTGTCTCCTCGTCAATCAGATGTATTCCAGAACTTAAGACCACGAAACTCTGTTTCCTATCATGAGAAATTAGGTAACTTACTGGGTATAAACCTGAATTCCCTCCAGATCATGTCCTCTGTACATCTTTGAGAAAGTGACAGCTGTATGGGGAAATCTAACATAAAAGCTTGGACTCGCATATCAGCCACAGACTCACCTCCCAACTCTGTATTTACAAGAGGTGTGACCTTGAATAAGTCTTGGAAGACCTCTGAGTAACTGTCCTCCTGTAGAAAATGATATGAAAGTTAATTTGTTTGCAGTTGCCTGAAAGGTGAGTAAAAGCTTTTAGGACCAGTAAGCCAAGGTTTGGAGTCAGTCATTAGGGGCTATAACTTTGCACACTGCCACTCTCTATGTGGCCTTGGGCGATGTTGACAACTTTCAATTTCTTCTCCATAAACTGGGGCTCAGAGGAGTTCCAATATGTACCTTATGGAGTGGTTGCTAATAGCAGGAATTTAAAAGAGCCTCTGGTTGTACATTTTTCACAGACAAGGATGCCAGACCCGAAGAGGTGAATGATTGAATGATCACATCCAGAGTAGAGCCCAGGTCACCAAACACTTCTTTCCACTCTGCATCACTGCCTTCTCTGCAAGATTCTGACTCACCACTCTCCACCATTAAAGATCACATTATAGTTGTGTCCTTTTTGGAGTTCGGTATATACTGCATAGTTTTCCAAGTCTTCAATCAAACCCAGGTCATCCAAGCATGAGCTCTATTATAACAGCATCATAATTAAAACACTTGGTCTGACCTATCCCTGTGAGGTAGGATTTTTTTAAGTGACTCTATCTGGAATCCTAACCACAGCTCTCAAACTAGGTATGCATTTCCCACACAACCACCGTCAGTTCTGACAGCTACCCGGAAACTATTGTCACAATCTATCTTTGCATCACATTGGAGAATGAAATTAAACTTACAAGCTAAGAAGGAAGTAGAGACATGCAAAGAATTGGCTGAGAACTTCGCAAACAAGCTATTAGGCATGGCCACAGCGTCCTCATTAATTTTGTTCACCAACGCAGGGAGGAAGGATAAAAGTGAATTGATGGAGGTTGAACTGTTAAATAATAATCCTTTCATTAGTGTACTCAGCTTAAATGTGGTGGCTCAGCCTCTACGAGAGTGTGCAATTAATCCACATACTTGCCAGACACAACAAGGGGGATCAGAAGCTCTTGTCTACTGGTAAATAGACACTGTGAATTTCCTGGGCTTATTGGGAGACTGTGTCACTGTCGTGCCAGAAAAGGAAAACTTTTCTGATTAAAAAGGAGCAAAAACAGGGGGCCTCCCTGGTGGCCCAAGGGGTTAAGCACTGCACTATGAAGCAATCAGCAGCCTCTGCAGCATGAGTTCGATCCCCGGCCGGCCAGGGAGCAACCCACATGGCGAGGCAGACCTCTCCTGTCAATAAAAAAAAAAAAAAAAAAAAAGGAGCAAAAACAGGGCCACAGGGGAGAGCGATGCCTCCTCATCTGCTCTGTGAATCTCTGTTACCGAGTGAATGGCAGTAACATAATATTTCTCTCCGCCAGACATAGAAGAAGACAGTGTGAGATGTAAACTGCAGTATGAAGGATCCAGATCAAACCCCAAGAAGAAATATTCATCGTGGTGTCTATTAACTCCACAAATAGTTTTTCAAGGGAGTTTTTAGAATGTGTTTCTCTGGCTGTATTTCCAACATATCAGCCGCAGTCTGGGAGGGAAGCAGATCTCACTCAGATGGTCTCAATGAAAACACTTTAAGGAAGGCAGTTGGTTTAAAGGGCCAGCACCTCAGCTGGAGAAAGACCAAGAGTTGAAATCAGTGTGTGAAAGCATCGTTAAACAACGGCACTGAAAATATGATTGAGGATTGTGCAGGAACATTGTCTTAGGTGCTAGTAAAATGTCGGAGCAAGATTAAGGAACAAACAAGAGTCATTGAGACACTTAGGAACTAGAAATAATAGGAAACTTAGCTAGGTAACAAATAATAGTAAGTAACTGGGGTCAGGCAAAAAC